CTCTGACAGAAATGATCATTTTTCTGTAAGGAATCTGTATTTGAAACACAGGGGGTGGCTGTGATGTTACGATACGTATGCAGATGGTTTCCCACGATACGTATACAGATGGTCTCCCACTTAATGAGTTTTCAACTTTACAATGGTGCAAAATCAATACACAATCAATAAAAGCCAATCTTTTTTGAATTTTGATCTTCTCCCAGGGAAGCACTGTGCACTATAATATTCTGTTGCAATGCTGGACAGTGGCAGTAATCCACAGCTGGCCTGATCAGCCACGTGATCATGAGGGTAAACCACCAACACACTGTGACTAAGCTACGAAGTTTGGTACCATTTTCAGTTTATAATATTTTCAACTTCTGATGAGCTTAATGGGACATAACCCTAGAGTAGATCAAGGAATGCCTGTATTTTGGTTTTCATACATGGATCCTGGCTCACAGCTGCTGTAATCCTTGTAATGTCCTAAGTAAGTGTCTTTGGTTAAAATATGTGGCCTTTTGACCTTGGTTCCCAACACTCCACAGTGATAAAGGCAAAAGACAGCCTTGTTCAAACACACCCGAGCTTATATTAATGAGGTGATTTTTAGAAAGTTCCTAGATAACCATAGGAGGCAGGAGATGAGGCTCGTTGCCAAGAGAACCAATCAGTGTGCTCAGAGGGTTGGAAGGGACTCTTGGGAGGGGAGAGCCTGAAGGCTGAAGTGATTAACAGAGGCCAAGGCCAATGATTCAGTCATCCCCTACTATCTGCAACCTCCATAAAACCCCAAAAGGACTAAGTTCAAGGACTTCTAGGAAGGTGAATAAGAACACATTCCTGCACTTGGAGGGAGGCCCAACTCAGTGGTATCCTTACATATCTCTTCATCTACTTTTTTATTTGTATCCTTTAAAGTGTTTTTTTAATAAACCTGTAAATATAAAAAATATGTACAAAAAAAATAAATAGCAGCTTTCAAACAGTGGCTCCTGAACCCTAGAAGACCATTTGTATCATTATCCAATATCTATTCTCATAATGTGACAAGAACAGTGCCATGAGTTCATAATTAATGATTGTGTTAACTGTAGTATGATCATTAAATGACATCGCCATTTTTTTTTTAACGCAGCTGTCTGTTTTCTGATGTCTGATCAAAAGCAGCCACACCCTTCCTATGTAGTCTGGGAGGGTTTCCTAATGGTGCAGAGAGAGGGTTATATACCCCGGAATGGTACAGACTGGGTGATCCCAATTCTTGGAATGCAGTAACTTCTAAAGCAAATACAGAGTCATTATGCAGGGTAAAAAAAGAAAGTAGCTGAGGAATTCCAAACAAAGATGAGAACAAAGAACAAAATGAATCAGCTTATTTACACTTTGTACAGTAGTTTCAAATAAACTATAGAAAAAGATGAACTCTGGCAGCTTTTCCAATACTTCCTTGAATCTATTACCAATCTCTCTGATTCTGCATATTAATACTGCCTGTGTGATTTTAAAAGGAAAGACATAATATGTAAAAGCCTAAATTTAAACTTCCCCTTTTGTCCCATATTGTGCTAAGGCTTATGAGTTATTTAGGGCCCACTAATTATTTGGGAGCCCTCTTTCAGTTTTAAGATTTTTTAAAAAGCAAACTAGTAGTTAGATTCATTTGGAAAAGAAATATTTAAAACTATTGGTCCTTTCCTTCATGTACTGCTATGATTCTTCATGTATATGGACAATATTAAAGTAAATTTAAAAAAAAACCCAAGAATCAAATGGTATATGCCCCTCTTTGATAGACTGAAAATAAAGTAACTGTATTTAAAGAAATCACTTACTTATTTTCTTATACATGTTCCCAAGGGTATTATTGACAGGTCACTGTTAATTTGGAAGCATCTAAACTGTTATTAAGAGGATATTAAGAAAAATTGCCCTGTTTGATTGGTCCTCATCTAATTTTTTCTTTTTGGAACATTTGCATGCATTGTAAAGAAGGATTATTAAATTTTTTCTTTTATTTTTTTATTTGTTCTTTTTAGATATACATGGCAGTAGAGTATATTTTGACATATTACACATGAACATTAGATATTATGTTGGAAGTTGCTCAAAAATTAAATGATTGGGTACAGTATGATGGTAACATATAATGTTAAAAATATATGTTCGGGAAAGCTTGGGATTTGTTTGAGATTTCCACAGAAAACTGAAGGGTATTTAGTGTATTTAAGTGAGATGACTCCAAATCTGAGAACCAATCTATAAGAAAAATTTGAAACCCCAATGGAAAAGACAAAGTGAAGGACAAGCAGCAAAAGTTAGTAAGGAGGATCTTTGTAATGAATGAATTTAAAAGACAGCAAAGAAATGTAATTTGGATGTGATATATTACTAAACAAGCATTGTACAACACATTAAAGTTTGCAACATTTATGATCTTACTTATTCATAGTAGCTATGTAAAGTTTTTAGAGTATTATCCTGATTCTACAGTGGAGGTAGCCTCATTGCTTTCAGAATGAAGAGAGACAAGAAAAAGCTAATTTCAAAAGAAATAAAGCTGAAAAAAAGACTCCTCTAAAAGTTGAAGGTAACTGGAGCTTGTAACAAAGTTTCTAGTGGGCTGGGATTGTGGCTCAGTGGCAGAGTGCTTGCCTAGAATGTGTGAGGCACTGGGTTCGATTCTCAGCTCTGTGTATCAATAAATAAAATAAAGGTCCACTGACAACTAAAACTATATTAAAAAAAAAAAAAAAAAGCTTGCAGTATTTAACAGAGAAGAGAGAGGGCTGTCTCTGACAGGCTGAAAGGTATACCAGGCTGTGCAAAGCTTTGGACGTGGGGGCAAAATACAAACTAAAAAGCTCTTTGATAAGACAAGTGACCTAGTAGAGAAATAGGAAAGATTCTTTTTTCCCCAGAAATATGCAGATGCTTTAGCTTTTATCTTTTTTGAGTCTTTTCTAACCTGAAAAGAAGATTTGAGATCTCTTCTGGCTGTAGATTAAAGCACTAGAATCTATGGAAGAAAGGTTTTCAAAAATCCATTGAGATTTTTGAAAAACATGTTTTCTAGAGGAATTGAAACAATTTTCATTTTTTTTTTGCTTGCTTCCTATTTTTCTTCAAAGCAGGTGCAGTAGATATAGTAGCCCAAAACCCAGCTCTATGTATAATCCATCTGAGAAAGAAGGGAATATGTCATCCTTCCCACAGATCTGAAAATTAAAATGTGGAAGTTCATCATCTCTTGTTAGGTATGGCTCATCAAAAAAAATATCATAATTATAAAAGTTGTTGCAATATCTTACTATTATCATCTGTGCACAGTGAAATATTTTAGTTCTTTGGGTATTGAGAGCTTTTCTAAAATCGAATTTAAAATATATAATTATTGGGGTATGAGGCAGTTTACTAAAGATCATAAAATTAGTGCTGAAAATAGTAAATACCATTTCTTTGTAAATTCGTGGAGAGCTGAGCCATCAATAGTATTTTCTGCAAAAAAAAAAAAAAAGAGGAAGAAAAGAAAAGAAAAAGTTTACATTGCTTTCTTCTATTGGTTGTACAACTTGGATGAAATGGCTTTTCACTACTGGTTGGTCGGTGATGAAACCACTTCTCTGTGGGTTGAATTGGTGGTGATTTATTATTTGTTGCTGGTAAGCACTATTTGCATGAGAGTTACAAAGCACACAGTTCTACACAAAAGAAAGGGGAAAGTGAAGGGAGAAAGAATGAAGGTCAAGTTGACAATGGAAGGGCTCTGTTTGGGGGTCTTTTTCTCTTGCTGGGGTCAAAGGGATGCGCCCATGACAAATGAATGCTTTGAGGTGAGAAGGGCAAAAGCACTCTAATAAAAGGCTTCAGGAAAGAGTGTAGGCGACCTAGGGAAATGTGCTGCGGTCAAGTTTAATCCTGGGAAAAGAGGCTCTGGAGAAAGCAGATGAGAAAGATAGGAAGGAAGATAGGGAGGGGTGTGGAGGGAGGAAGGGGAGGAGGTGGGGGCCTGAAAAGTGAGAGGGAGCAAGCACTAATTGTGGCTAAGACAACCGGGTTGTGGGCCACAGGGTGGGGAAAAGTGAAAGTCCAGAAGGAGGAGAAGGCAGAGGCCCGCGGACCCAGACGGGGCCCTTGGCCGGGAAGGCACAGGGCGCGGGGGCAGCTTGGCTCGCCTCAGGCCCCCTTGGCAGCCTCAGGCGTTGGCTCCTCGGGGCTCCCTCCCTCTCCAGCGCATTGTTCCTTTGCCGGGAGACAAGGAAATTGCCTTTTGATTGCGGAAGTCCGCGGACTGGGCTCGGGGCGAGGCAGCGCGGGTCAGAATGGCAGCGTGGGAAGGGCTGTGCGCTGCCTGCCCCCGCCGCCTGTCGCGTCCGCAGCCCGCCCCGGGCGGCAGCAGAAGCAGCAACCGCGGTGGCCCCTGTCTGTCTCCCGTCCGGAGCGAAGCGCGCTGCGCCCGCGGGGCGCGCTGAGCGCGCGCAACAAGTGACTCCCACGCCTGCCCTCGGGCGGCTCCGCGTCCAGCCCCCTAGGTTTAATCCGGGTCTTAACCCCTGAGCGCAATGCTGAACCATGGAACCCGACTGACCTTGTGGATTACACTGAGTTTATTGCAGGTGAGTGGCCCCAGAAGGGGTCGGCCGCTAATGCATCCCTCTCCATGAACCAAACTCTACTTTCCGCTCTCCTAGGCGGTGCTTTGAAGGAAAGGTGGCAAAATTTCTTCCTCTATCCTGGGAAGAGCAATCCTCTTCGGAAACTCCTAAAACGACATCTCATCCTGCTGTCAAAGGAAAAAAGCCACCTTCTCTCTCCATCTGCTCCCGGGGAGGGCGAACTAGGGAGAAAGTTGCCATTTGCTTTCCCTTTGACCCCTCACCCAGGCTGAAGGGCAAAGGGACAGGCTGAGGCTGGGCTTGAGGGGCGCAAATAGAGACGACTTGGGGAGCCTCACTGTGAGGCTCCCTGGTGGTTCGGACTGCCAGTTTAAACTGTGGTCTCTGATTCCTTTGCAGACTGGACTGGCAGAGTCAGTGAGATGTAACTTCACCCTGACGGAGTCCAGGGTCTCCAGCTTGTCGGTGTCTATCCAGTGGAGAACTTTAGGGTCACCATGTAACTTTAGCCTCATCTATAGCGGTGACACCTCAGGGCCTTCATGGTGCCACCCCATTCAGATAGACAACACTACCTATGGATGTACCCCCAAGGATTTACAAGCAGGAACCATCTACAACTTCAGGATTGTTTCTCTGGACGGAGAAGAGAGAACCGTGGTCTTGCAAACAGGTAAAGGGTAACAGGTGCAATTGGAGAGCCAAGTCACTCTAGGTTGGACCCTGTCTTTCCAACCTGGTGTTTCATTTGAGTTCCAGGAATACAAAAGATAAAGGTAAAAAAAAAATCTGTGAAGATAAATATTGACGAGGATTTCTAGTCTCCTTAGGTCTGACCAGAAGTAGCTTGGTTGACTTTGAGAGACTCCCTTGGTGCTGAAAACGGTCACTGACTAGCCACTGTAGGAGGGGAAGGGATGCAGGAAAGAGAAATCTTGGGCTGTGGAGGGAATTTGTTAAAGTGTTGTGGTTTGAGCTTCCATCACATTAAGTTGTCAAATCCTGGAATAATTTTAAGTAAATGTTTTTGGAATGGATACTGGAAGTGCAATGATTAAGGATATGCCTTTCCTCAACTTAGTTTTATTTTTAGAACCAGGACATAAAATCATCAGGAATAGAATAGAGCTATTCATAGTGGAAAATTAGGAAATTTCCTTGAGATGAGGATTCAAAATTATTTTGTGTCTTTTGAGTAACTAACTAAAAGAGCATAATACCAGATAACATGTTTTGTTTACACCTCAAGTCAGTTGTTTTCCTTACACTTTTTGTAAATCCTTCCATGTGTATGGTAAGAGTTTGACTTTCTTGCCTGTGTTCTCTTATCTGCAAAATGAGAATGTTAGACTAGGTCATTGAGGTCCAGGTTCTTACTAAGTTCAGGGGCTGTCAAGTATATACCTCACTTAATCCTCATAGCTATCCAAAGGTGTGCTTTGAATTCTCTAATGACTTTGATGTTCTTTGACTTCGTTAGCCTTTAATATTATCTCTGTTCGTTGCAATAACAAAGCCTTATTTTCTCCAGAAATCCAAATTGAAGCAAAAACATTCTGAAAGTTCAATTAAGAAATGTGTTATCCTTACTATTCTTTCACATTTTAACCTGTTCAAAAATCATTTATTGAGCCGTATAGTTTTTGAAAGAGGTGTGAGAACATTCAGTTTGAAGGACAGTTAAAACAAGGCAGGAAATTTAACTGGGTTCTTGTAACCAACTATTAATTTTATTTCTTTTCAAAGAAAAAAATTATAATGCCCAATTACATCACTTGACTTACTCCAGATGAAACTTAGGTTCTTTCTGAGAATTGCAGTAATTTAAATTGAAAAGAGAAGCCACTTGTTAAGAATTTGCTTGGATTTTACAGGGAACCAAAGAGAGACTTAAACCAACCACAAAATTAGAACATTTTATAGAAGTTTCAGCAGCTGGGTTTTCGGTCATAACATGGTTGGTTTCTTGGTATTTGAAGACAGTTCTGTGAAGACTCATATTACTAACACTGTGAAATTTATAACATAGAACTTCCAGATGTGTTAATTACTTTGGAAAAAGAGTTTAGCCAACTGTATGTGTGTTCAGTGGGGCAGAGCAATTTGTCAAAGTAGAAGAGCTTTTAGATGTCTGTTGGAGAAAAGATGAAAACCTGAAAAAGCCAAAATACAGTTAACCCAGAGGATTTACTTTTTTGGAAAAAAATTATAATAGAAAAGGAGTCACTAGGGGTGTTACTAATATAGAATAGATTTTGAGTTTAGTTATGCAGATAGGTGTCTCAAATCCAAAGGTATCTGTGAAATGAAAAAAATGCTTGCATCTTATTGTTTATGTTGAATAAAACAAGACTTCATTATCACCTACAATATGTTAGCATTCAGGATTCTCATCATTCTTCTTAAGGAGATTCTTTTTACAAGTACTTTTAACCACAAACTTTATGAGCTGCAGGATAAATGGGAAGGATGAAAATTACAGGTGGTGTTTAGGTAATAATGTTATTTTTGCATGCTTTTTGTATGATGGTATAACCCTTCTTGGAATTCTCTACATTTTAAAATAATTTTTTATTTAAATAGAACTTCTTAAAATTAAGGTATTTTAGAAATTATTTCAGGAAGGATTTTTTTAGTTGTTTGTTATTTATTTGTCAGTGGTACTTTCTGTATTTTAAGAATATAGGTGAACTGTTCATTCCATTAAGAAAAAATGCTAGCTTTCTCTTAATGTAAATACTGATTGCTAAGCTACAGAAATTAGTTCCATAAATCATAGTTTACTGTTACAAAAGTAATTCTAACTAGTACAATATTAAGTCTGAGACAAAACATCAAGTAAGTCATTAAGAATGTGAGTGCTTTCCTTATTACATTATGCCTATCTTATCTGTCTAGAATAAAACAGAATGAGAACATGACAAGACTTGGATGTAGATACAGTAATTGCTTAGGTTATCTCTGTATCATTTCATGTGTGAGTTTTCTGGTCTCAAATAGCTATTTTGGTTTCCTATAGACCTGACCTTTAAGATTCAAAAAATCTTAATTAAATGGGTAGTATTTTAGCAACAATTTCCACTCCAGATTTAAAATCAGAATTGAAAAATTTGGATTCAAATTCAATTCAGTAAATATTAATTGTGCACGACACTAAAGAGAACAGTGGCAGGTAGTGATTGGTGAGCTAATAAAGATGACAAAAAGTGGTCCCTGCCCTTGTAGTCTTGAGCAGCTCTGAGACAAAGTTATGGTGAAGATGACAACAGAGCTCTACCACATTTTCCTGAATGAGGACTTTGTCCTTCCTCGAGTATGCCATACCACAGAGGAGAAGACACTCAGCAGTTCTCAAGTGTCATTAAATGGCCAATTTAACAAAAATATGTTTTGAAATCACCAGAAATAACAGAGTGAACATACCAAATATTGAACATCTTGACACTTTTAAAAGTCTAGAGCAGAGATTGCACACAAATAGCCTCTAGGCATGTGTAGGTGTCTAAGTACTAGCTATGTTCTGTTTGACTCCTGTAGTGCTTGTGCAAAAAAATCCAAATGTATGAATTCTCTTAAACTATTGGAAGATTTGGAAAACCACATGAATGCATTCTAAGGGTATTTGAATTTATAACTTCTTGAATGTTCACATCTAGAACTTTTGGGGGCATTTTTTTGGTCCAGAATTAAGATATAGGTTTTTATTGAGTACATGGTATTGATTAAATGGCTGGATAGATATATGGATAGGAATAGATCTATAGATAGGTAGATAGTAGATAGAGGTAGATGTGAATTAATGAAATGAACATTTTAATAACAGAATGAACATATAGTAATAATATTATCTAATCTTTCTGGCTTATGAGTACATTATGGAGCCCAGAGAAATGGAGTAGAGGTAGAGAATTTTACCTGTGGAACAAATATTTCAGTGACATTTACCTTCTTGTTAATCTGTCTTGGCTACTTAGTAATTAGCCTAGTAATAGAAAAACAACACCAAAATAATCCTGAAATTATTTTAGTTATTTTAATATAACTGATTCTTTTGTCCTTAGTAAAAAACATTTAGTGACTTTAATTATCAAATTACCACATCAGCTATTATTTCCCCTTCAAAATGGTGTTCATTATGGTGGTTAGCTAGGGCTGCCATAACAAAATCCCACAGACTAAGTGGGCTTAAAAACAGAAATTTATTTTCTCACAATCCTGGAGGCTGGAGGTCCAAGGTGTCTGAAGGTTTGGTTTTTCTCTGAGACCTCTATCCTTGATTTGAAGATGGTGGTATCCTCACATGGTTGTCTCTGTGCATGCCTGTGTCACCATCTTTTCTTAAAAGAACACTATTGGATCAGAGCTACCTCATGGCTCCATTTTCAATTTCATCACTTCTTTTAAGGGCCTCCAAATACAGCCTCATTTTGTATTTGGTACTGGGGTTTACAGCTTTGATATATAATTTTGTTGGAGACAGATTTTATCTCACAATACAAAGCTTTAACATAAGCCACTATTTCTCAAAACTCTCTGTCAGTTACTTGCATCAAAATCTCTTGCAAAGCTTGTTATAAAAATATTCCTGGTTTCTGCTCTACCTGAAATGAATCAGAATTTAGAAGAAATGAGTTGGGGGACTCTATACGTCAAACATCAAAGTGAATGAAAGCACCTGAGGTTCAAGAACTATTGACATCGTTTTTCTATTATTTATTAGCATTAAGATTTTGGGATCATGCCTCTTTATACATGGTTAAATCTATAAGGCCTGGGATTATTTTTTTTCCTAGAGGAGAAACATACTTTTATTTTTTTCAGTGTGATTTTGTAGCATACAGAACACTGTCACCTTCTGTATTGAAAATACAAAGTATAAAATATATACCACATTTACCATATATTCTTTACTTTGACCCTGTGGCAATCCTGTAGAGTGGGTATTGTGAAGGGGCAGGTGGCATAATGGGAGTTCCGAAAGCAAACTGCCTCCTCTGCTCACTAGCTAAGCTTTTCTGTGCAGATTACCTAAATACCCTCCCCACCACAGGGCTGCTTCCTAATCTATATAGTGAAGACAATAACAATAATGATACTTGCTTTATAGAGTTGTTATGAGATTTTTAATTCATACATAAAACCTGGAATCATTTTGTCACCTACTAGGTCTGTAGTAAGTGTACTATTATTACTACATTCAGGTTGGATATGGTATTGATCTTCATAAGAACTGATGATTTTCATAAATCCACACAGTCGACACAGTGTAGAGCCCAAGCTGCCCCTAATATTCTTTCAATTATTCTGCAGGAAGGATTTTTTTGGGGGGTGGGAGGGTACCAGGGATTGAACTCAGGGGCACTCAACCACTGAGCCACATCCCCAGCCCTATTTGTATTTTATTTAGAGACAGGATCTCATTGAGTTGTTTAGCACCTCACCTTTGCTGAGGCTGGCTTTGAACTCATGATCCTCCTGCTTCAGCCTCCCAATCCTCAGAGGACAAAATATATTATTCTATAGCTTAAATCTATATACACTTTTCCTGCACAAGGGTAAAGTAATGATTAAATATGTTTTAGTATGAGGAAATAGGGAGATGTTATTGATTTTTTAATTGTGTTGAACGTTTGGTGATGACTTCAGTATTTAGCAATCAGACTTTTACAGTCT